GCACACATGCGTCCAGCATGAGTTTCAAGCCTCTGGGTCCAGGATGCAAACCGCAGTTGACCACATGGGAGTCTAGCACCTTAACCACTATGCTATCTGCTGACCCCTCAAAGATAACTTTTTAATTAGCAATTGTGGTTAATCACAGCATACTCAAAATATTTTAAAGCTTTTCCCCATTTAAATGATGCCTTTTTTTTTTTTTAAGTTTGTTGGAGGAACATGTGTTCACTGCAGAAAGAGAGAAGGAAAGTGAGAAAACACCCCCTTAGGAGATGGTCATGCCTTAATCCCATGTCCTTCATTTTTCCTTCTGGGATTTTAGACATGCACACACATGTGCCCAGTATGTTTTCTAAGCTGCCCAGTCTGGAACTGAACAGCTGTCAGCCATGCCGGATCCAGTCACCCCAACCTGTGCACCACTGGCTGGCCTTCAGGATTCATTTAAAAAACCTAAAGTGCCCATCATTTGTAATGTCTGCAATTCATCATGGAACCCCTCGATAGTAGGGAGGTGGTACAGATGCCCTTGTACTAAATTTTATTCATCCTGAGATTTCCATTGTTTCTTCCACATTTAAAACCTCTATTTCAGTATTTCTTTTTCAGTAGTATGCAAAATAATGATTCATCTTAAACTTGATAGCATCATTGATAAAGCTTTTAGAATGATAAATATTGGAGAAAGATTGTGCTGTAGAAGGTCCACACGTTGCTGATGGAATCTTGTTTGAAAAGTGTAACTAGAGCTGTAAAGAGTGCAGGACCTTTCCGTTCGATGGCTGAAGAATGTCAGGACCTTGAGTAAAAGAGCTGATGCTATAGAGTGAGGACCCAGCCTGGATGAAACATGTAGGCTCTGGGGACCTAGATAATTCAGAGCTATATGTCAAAGTGGGTTAGTTATTGGGACCAGCAGTTAGCGTAATGGCTATGTCGTTGAACTCCCATGTAGCCGACCGTGGTTCGAGTCCCGGACCCGGTGGCTTAAACTCACGCCGGGCATGTGTGCATGCGTGCCCAAGATCCCGAGAGGAGAATGGAGGAGAAGGGATTGCAGCGTGGCCATCCCCCCCGGGGGGTGATTTCTCACTTTCTATCTCTCTCTCTGTCTCTGTCATTCTGGCGAGCACACGTGCCCTGTAGCAAAAACCTCTCAAAAAAAAAAAAAAGTGGGTTAGTTATTGGCAACATTGTCAGTGTACTTCTTAAAAAATCTTTTTCACATATTCTAACGCGGGCATAGAAATCTTGGTTGGATGTCCTTTGTGGGTGTATTTTGCTGAAAAATGTGTATGTGCGCTCCAGAGAGCAAGCGAGAGAGATTGGCAAAGTGAGAAATCATTGTCCCAGAGCGGGATGGCCATGCTGCAGTCCCTTCTCCATTCTCTTGAGATTTTGGATGTGCATGCACACACACCAGGTGTGGCTTTCAAGCCGCTGGTTTAGAGACTCAAACCGCACAGTTGGCCATTTGGGATCCAGCTGCCCCAACCATCCCACCACTGGTTGGCCCTGGGTGTCGTTTTTATGTAGAATTCTGAAAGGATTTTTCTGTTGTCTCTTGGTTTTAGTTTTTTGTGAAGTTAAGTTCATTTAGATTCTTCGTGTGATACTTTTTTCCTAGAGGATTTTAAGATGAATCCTTTATCCTCACTCTTCAAATTTCAGGATCATATGCCTTGGCATGGTGTGTTTTTATTTATTGTGGTGAATATTCATGTGCTTTACTTGGGGGGAAACTAATGCTTGTTTCTTTTTCACTTTTGGATAATCCTTTTCATATGGCGTTGAATGTCCTTGATTGATTATCTAACTACTGTTTTTCAGTTGGGGATTTAAAAAGGTTCTGTTCTGGGACCAACAGATGGCGTGGTGGTTAAGGTGCTGGACACTCCCATATGGCTGGGAATGGTTCAAGTCCCGGACCTGGCGGCTTCCTCTCTCCCTTTCCCTATCTCTTTCTCTGTGTCTCTCTCTGGTCAAATTAAAATGAATGAATGAATAAATAAAATTAAATAAATAATAATTGTGTTTTTTTAAAAAAGGTTCTGTTCTGATACTTTCATTGTTTCCATCAATTTTGTTTGTTGTTCTTTCTCTTCTATAATGTTGGTTTTCCCTTAAGATTTGGTGATTTTTGGTTGATTGTTTATATTAGTATTAGTAATTTTTTTCTTTGAGAGGTTTTTGCTATGGGCCACATGCGCTTGTTAGAAAGAGAGAGACAGAAAGTGAGAAATCACCCCTCTGGGGGGATGGCCACATCACAATCTCTTCTCCATTCGCCTCTCGGGATCTTGGGCATGCATGCACATGCAACTGCCATAAGTTTAAGCTGCTGGGTCCAGGAGTCGAACTGTGGTTGACTACATGGGAATCCAGCAACGTAGCCATTATGCCATCTGCTGGTCCCTATATTAGTATTAGTAATCTGATATGGGGTTTTTGTGTGTGTATTTGTCATGTGGCCTTGTCAGTCTCCTCATCCAGAGGCCCATTTTGCTGAACGCGAGATGAATGCATGTTCTTGGTACGTGCACAGGTTCTATAGACTTAGACTTGACCTAGGCAGAGAAAATGTGTCCTGGCTCTGGATCTGCACAATTGTAAATATATGAGAGGCAAAGTCTTTCAATGTAGTTCATTTATGGGTAAAATTACTCTCTCATCAGCTTTTGTCTCAGAGATTGAGAATAACAACGCCAGGATATTTTCAGCCTCTATCCAGCCCCAGGACCTAAAACATAAGCTTCCTCTTCACAGGTCTTTTTCTTTTCTTTTTTTTTTTTTAGAGAGAGAAATTTTTGCTATGGGATGCGTGTACTCCCCAAAGAGTCAGAAAGCAAGAAATGGGGGATGGCCATGCTGCAATCCCTTCTTAATTCTAGTGGGATTTTGGCACACACACAAATGCACTCGGCATGAGTTTTAAGCCACCAGGTCTGGGACTCGAACTGTGGTCCACTATGTGGTAGTCCAGTGACATAACCATTATGCCATCTGCTGGTCCGTCATCGTTTTATTTATTATAATTTTTTTTTTTTTAATTTGCTATAGAGTACCTGTGCCTCACCAGAGAGAGACAGGGTGGAGGGTGCCTAAAAGCAAGCCACCAGGTTTGGGACTCAAACCGTGGTTGGCTCTGTGGGAGTCTAGTGCCCTAACTACCATGCCACCTGCCAGCCCACTTTTCTCAGGTCTTTTACTTGGTTTAAAAAGAAATTTTGGACTCTTAGTTTCTTGTTCTCAGATAAAAAGATGAAGTTGGCAGTTCTAGCATGTCTTTCCTGTGCTTTGTTTTCCAAATACCTTTTTGGGCTGCTATCCTGCAGTGCATCCCTCTTCTTTGTCCCTGCCATCTAATGGCTTTCTAGGACCCTAGTGGGACCACTCACTTCTGACTACTTGTAGTCTTCCTTTGTGTTGGTTGCAGATTGCTGTTTCCTGTTCTCTGGCTTATTATCCATATGTTCTCATTTACTTTCTGCTTTCCAGGAAGTTTTTGATCTTCTGATAAAGTATTGCTGTGAATTCAGTCTTTTTTTTTTTCCTTCTTTTTGGGGGAAAGGTTTTTGCTATAGGGCGCGTGTACTCGCCAGAAAGACAGAGAGAGACATAGAGATAGGAAGCGAGAAATCACCCCCCGGGGGCGGGGAGCAATCTCCTCTTGGGATCTTGGGCACGCATGCACACGTGCCCAGCGTGAGTTTAAGCCACCGGGTCCAGGACTCGAACTGAGGTCGACTACGTGGGAGTCCAGCAACATAGCCATTACGCTAACTGCTGGTCCCTGAATTCAGCCTTTTCATTACTGTGTTATATCATTGATACAAATAAATATGCAAAGTTAAGTCATCCTTCATTCTCAAATCTCTTCTCCCAAAATCGTAAAATAAATTTATATTTGAAAGAGGAATTTAAGTGTAAAAAGTGAAAGGTTCTGTCTAGAGTTTACAATTGTTAGCACTTCTGTGTTTATTCTTTCACTTTTTTCATATACCGTGAAAGTGAAAAACAAGGTATATAGTTTTTAAAAATGTATTCAGTATGTAAACTATGTGTATTCACTGGCCAGCTGATAGGATGGTCATTAAGGCAATTGGATCCAACACAGCTGACCACATGGTTCAAGTCTCAGACCTGGCAGCCTGAAAAACACACTGGGCATGTGTGTATGCATGTGCACAAAAATCCCAAAACGAGGGTAAGATAGAGGAGAGGGGATTACTGTGTGACCATCCTCCATGGGGAATGCTCTATCACCTTCTCTCTCTGTCTTCCTTCAGCAAGCATAGGTGCCTTCTAGCAAATTAGGGAAAAAATAGTTTAAGTAATATGTATATAAATAAAGTATTTTATAACTTGCTTTTTTTGTAGTAAAAATATCATGGGTAGCCAGTCTTCCATTTATTAAAATGTTAGCCTTGCTCCATGACGGCAAACTTGTTAAATTTATTGCTGCATGTCCCTTCCTAGAGCTCGGATCACAGGAGGCATCTAGACAATTACTGACTGAAGGAATGATACAGCTCTAAATCAGTACGAATTCTGAAAGGGAAGAATTGTTTTGTTCTAGTCATTGGGGAGTTAGCATGAGCTGCAGGATAAAGAGGTCAGAGGATGGCATGCAAAGGTGACAGCAAGGTGAAATCTGTTCCCTTGTGCTGACAAATTTAGAGTAGGTTAGATGTTAGAGGATCTAGGATCTGAAAATTTGGACTTGTTACATAAGCCAGTAACTATTTTAAGATCTACAGGAGGGGTGTATATTTTAAAATTTGGTGGAATTTGACATGAACACTGGGTCAAGTAGAATGGGGATGAAGATGGGGCCAAGGGATTAGCTCAGTGGTGTGATGTGAGGTATAAAAGGTTCAGACTTGGGAAGATCATTGATTCTGAAAGTCAGTAAACTTTGGTTCTAGTCCTGATTCTGAAATCGTAGGCAAATAATTTTACCTCTATAAACTTTTATTTTCTTATTAGTGAAATGAGTCAGTGAGATTGGAATGGATGATGTAAGGACCCTTCCAATTCTAAGGGAGTTTTTAATATAATCCTTTTTTAATTCAACTTTGTGTTTTGCTTTGGTCTTTAAGTTGATCTTTAGCAATTACTTTATGGGACTACAATAATACTGCTTAATTTTTTGTCTGTTTGATTGCCTGCTAAACTTGTCATGGGCTTACAAGCCTGATATTATTTACTTGTAACACTGTTATATGGCATTTATTTAAAAAGTGATAGAAAAGTTTTTATATAAAATACCAATTTGTTCCTTCAGAAATCATTGTCTCCACCTGAAGAAGCGGCAAATCAACTATGTCCTCCAGAAGAACAAGAACAAGAAGAACTTGATTTTTTATTTGATGAAGAGATGGAACAAATAGAAGGTCGAAAAAACACTTTTACTGATTGGTCTGATAATGATTCAGATTATGAAATTGATGACCAGGATTTAAACAAGATTTTGATTGTAACTCAGACACCACCTTATATGAGAAAACATCCTGGAGGAGATCGAACAGGCAACCACATGTCTCGGGCAAAAATTACATCTGAACTTGCTAAAGTTATCAATGATGGCTTATATTATTATGAACAGGATCTATGGATGGAAGAAGATGAAAATAAACACACAGCCATAAAGGTAACTGTTCCTAGCCGACATCTT